ATTAACATAACATAATAAAATAAAATTAAAAAAATAAAATAAAATATAATTGGACTTGCTGTTTGCTTAACTAAAAAAGAAAGCACAATTAGTGTGGACACCATGATGTTAATGACCAAAATCAAATCAAATCAAATCAAATCAAATCTGCGGAATCCTCATTTAAACAAAGAAGCACGTGCTGTCAACATGGAGGCCAAATTGTTCTGGCTGGATCTCTCACTGCTTATGTGGAAAAATCATGTCAAGTGAGGACAGGCTCAGTATGTTCAAATGGTTATTTCTATTAAAGGGTTTTGGGATTCTTTTCTACTTCAGGGTCAGTGCGGCTTCGAGGTGGCAAACACGAGTTTGAAGGCACCGTGGAAATATATGCAAATGGAGCTTGGGGCACAGTGTGTGGCAGCCACTGGGATGATTCGGACGCCTCAGTCATTTGTCACCAGCTGCAGCTGGGGTGAGTTCGCCCATCCTTGCCCAAACCAGGCTGCTGATACCGGAGAGTAATGGCGGGCACCCGTCGCTGCAATGGAAAGATGTCACGCACCTTCCTTCCTCTGCCTCACCTCCCTCATTCTCACTTTTCACAAGAATTATAAAGAAAGGACCCCACGGGGAAGGAATGCTGACCAGGAAATAAGCAAATGCTGAGTAGTCCGATGTTAAAAGCGTCCTTTGGTCTTTGTCTTTAAAAATCATCCTTTAGTCCTAGGAAGCCAGGAACGGGATTCTGAGGATTGTCATTTCTCAGTAGCGTCATTTGCATCTCAGTGGCTACTTGCAGCCCTCCACAACTTCCACCTTTTTGTGCAGGAAGGAGGCGACGTTCACCCGCTCTCTCATCCCGAGATGGGAAAGGCGTGGTGTCCAGGCCTGGCGCTTCCGTGCTCGGGAGGCCCTGCTAGCGGGGGTGGCCCGCGGCTTCCCCGCAGCTCTGAGCACTCTCTGTACACAGTCGGTGCTCGCTACTTGCCACCAGGCCCAGCGCCTTTAAGCCAAGTGCCAGGGGGCTTCACCGGGAGCGGAAGGCTCCATTTTGGAACAAAAGGTTTTGCTTCTGTGGTTGTTCTTATTGTTCTGTTTTTGTGTTTCATTTATTTATTTTATTTTTTTGCAAGTGCACTTGCCAGATGTTTTCCTTGGCCTCTCTCACTAGAGATCTTTAGAAAGCATGGAAACTACCTCGTTATGAACAGGCAGTTCCAAAAGACTGAAAAAAGTTTTGCAGTTTACAAATATTTTGGATTAATAATCAGTGAGTGGTAATATCTAATAGGATGATAGAAACGAAAAGGTTGGTCAACTGCAGTCAGATCAGTAAGAACTTTAATTTGTCTGCTTCCTCCTGTCTTCTTGTTAGGAAGGTGGGCAATAAATATTTAATAAAGACAAACCCTTCTGAAGGCTTAAGTTTTGTTCAGGCTTTTGATGCTGTTAGAGCAGCAAATAGGCTTAATGTACTTAATGAATTAACTAATTTTAAAAGTGAGTATTGGTGTAAGTCTGGATGAAAGAAGGAATAAGGCTATACAGCTTATAAAGTGTTATGGTGTTTGGGACTGTTAGTTACTGATTTGATCAATGAATATTTTGTCTGGCAGATAGTCATTGGCAGGTGGATAGGACACAGAGAGTGTTGACTTGATGCTTTTTCTTTTGAGGGTCTTAATGTGTAACAAATTTGTAGACTGGTGTCAGTGTCTTCCTTAAAATACGCACTTATATGTGCGTTTATTACCCCTGAAAATCAGGGAAGAATACGATTTCCTATGAAACTCTGACATAAAAAACCAAAACACTATAGTGGAGATGTGAACTGCTAGTCTTTTGGTTGATGAAAGAATATAAACTATGATCCTGCAAACAGAAACTTCAGATAAACTGATCTGATTACTTATATCATCTCTTAGTGGATCCTTTTTTTTTTTTTAAAGTAATCTCTACACCCAACGTGGGACTCAAAGTCCTGACCCAGAGATCAAGAGTCCCGTACCCTCTGACTGAGCCAGCCAGGCACCCCTCATTTTTATTTATTTTTATTTTTTAGTAGTCCATTAAAAAAAAAAGTATTATATAATTAGATCAGAGCAGCTCAGAATTATTGCTGTTAAGACATGTTCATATTTTAGATATATCCCAAATGTTTACTGTTTGGTTGATGGTGGAAGCTGTTGTATGGAGACAATTTTGGAGATTACCATGTTAATCAGGTAAGCCTTTAATCTTTTTAAAACCACCAGCTTCTTTTTTAAATCTGTAGTATTTGCCCATATATATTTTTTTCCCCTAAAATCAGCCATAGGTAGGAAAGGCACATGCATACCATTAGTTATTTAAGATTGATTAAAAAGATTGCTGTAGGGGGCGCCTGGGTGGCTCGGTTGGTTAAGCGACTGCCTTCGGCTCAGGTCATGATCCCAGGGTCCTGGGATCGAGTCCCACATCGGGCTCCCTGCTCTGCGGGGAGCCTGCTTCTCCCTCTCCCACTCCCCCTGCTTGTGTTCCCTCTCTCGCTGTGTCTCTCTGTCAAATAAATAATAAAAATAAAATTAAAAAAAAAAGATTGCCGTAGGTAACCAACCCAAGTTCTGATCTGATGTTTTGATTTCCTTGAAACTTATGCATCCTGTTATATTTTTCTTTTCCTTCCACATCTGTCTTTATTGATTTCTTCTATTTTAAAAAGTCTAAATACTTTGACAAAAAATTCACCTATATTCGATAAACCTAACCTCGATCATTGTGTTTCCAGACGAAAAGGAGTCGCAAAACAAACCCCGTTTTCTGGACTGGGCCTTGTTCCCATTTATTGGAGTCATGTCCGTTGCCGAGGAGATGAAGAAAACATACTGCTTTGTGAAAAAGACGTCTGGCAGGGTGGGGCGTGTCCTCGGAAGATGGCGGCTGCTGTCACGTGTAGCTTTTCCCAGGGTAAAAACGTCTCTTTTACCTTTTCAACAAGATTCCAGATGATAAAATTGTCTTCATCAAATCATTTCCTCAAAGAGTTTAAATACAGACATTAAGTCTGAATCATCATATTATATAGTCAAATCGTCTTCAGTAGGAGTGCGTCTAACATTCTGAATTCCATTTAACTTTCAAATGATATCTCACTCTTAACGTGTTTTCTATTTTATCTAATTTGCTTACAGAAATATTGTATATTGTACATGAAACATATATTTTGCTAATGGAAGGTCATGATAGAGTCAAGATGGAAAATCATCTTGGAACCAAATATAAAACACAGCAACTACGACAAAATATTTTCACTTTATAGGATAGAATATGATTGTGGAACCAGTGTTCTCCTTTGAGTTGTCAATAGCACATTCCATAATATGGATAACTGCCTCGGATAAAAGCTCCTTCACAAGGGGCGCCTGGGTGGCTCAGTCCTTAAGCGTCTGCCTTCGGCTCAGGTCATGATCCCAGGGTCCTGGGATCGAGTCCCGCATCAGGCTCCCTGCTCTGCAGAGAGCCTGCTTCTCCCTCTCCCTCTACCTGCTGCTCTGCTTACTTGTGCTCTCTCTCCACCTCTCTGTCAAATTAATAAATAAAATCTTTAAAAAAAAAAAGGGCTCCTTCCCAGCACTATATACTAGCCATGAGATGATGAACATGGTTCAGTACACATATATGTGGACGTTTGTATGAACATGTGTAGAGAAGGGAACAGCTGCTTTTCCTGATGGCTGATGGGTTTTCTGGGGACCGTGGCATATTTTAATGTGTGACCAGAACCTGAGACTATCACACTGTCACAGCGTCCCTTCTTGCATTCTCCTTGAAGATGGCAGCATGATCAGATTTCCTAGGTCTTAAAGAGCTAGCAGCCAGCCCAGGGCATTGGTTTCTGTTGGAGTGCAAGTATCAGGGGAGGAATGGAAACTCTCTCACCACAAAACATACAGAGACTCAACTTAGAGTGACTCCTGTGAATTGGCTGGAAGAACCAATTGAAAGATAGGGTGCAGGTATGTGCTTTGAGAACCACAGTTTTTTTTTGAGTGGGCCAAGCACATGTTAAATCTTGATGTTTTGTAAATATTTCCTCTTCTTTTTTGGTTCTCCACTTTTGGATAATGCTACTTTGGGCAGTATATATTTATGCATTGCTGCTTCAAGGATGATGTGAATTGGGCTCAGTAACTCATTACTTTTTGTAGACTATTGCTTGTGCTTTATGTTCCATCTGATGGATAAAATGTTTGACATTTTTCAAGTACTGAAATAAATCAAATCTTGAAAACAATAATTATTTTTCTTTCAGGATATCTATCTATTTAAAAAAAATTCCTTCTATCATCTATCCACCTGTTTATACTCCGATTGCAAAGATAAATTTAAGGTCATTTGTAAGCATATATATAAATGTGGGAGGTTGAGATAAGATAGAAGTGAGTGAGAAGGATGAGAGAAGTTAGAATGTGAAAGGAGATAGCTCAGATCAGCAAATACTGAGTCTACTTCAAGGCACAGTAATAGACCTTTGATATATTTTTGTAGTTTGGAAACTACATTTAGTACCTTGTTAGTACTTGTTGCTTTTCCAACACTTACAAAGTAGGAGATTGTGTAGCAGTTTTTATATAGGAAGTAGTAATTTAAATGAACATGTCTGGGAGTTTTATTTATCCGTAAGTTAACTGTGAGTCAACTACCTCACTGAATTCTCTTTCAAATGATTTTTTGTGTGCTTGTTGGGAGGATGTGGGATGATGATGAAATTTTGTCTTTGAGCTTTTCTATATTTTCACAATTATATAGCCAGAAAAAGCCCACATGTTTTAAAATAAAACATGACACTAAAAAATATAAGGTAGTATGCCATACAGTTCTGGGTTACAGGTGATTTTAAATTTCCTCTTAAAAAATTTTGTTTTTCGGGGCGCCTGGGTGGCCCAGTCAGTTAAGCGTCTGCCTCAGCTCGGGTCATGATCCCAGGATCCTGGGGTTGATACGCACGTCAGGCTCCCTGCTCAGTGGAGAGTCTGCTTCTCCCTCTCCCTCTGCAGCTCCCCCTGCTTGTGCTCTCTCTCTCTGTGTGTCAAGTAAATAAATAAAATCTTCAAGTTTTTTTTTTCTGTTTTCTCCAAGCTTACCACAGTGGTAGGGGGAGGAGAGGCAGGGGCGAATATAATAACTTAAGAAACTAATACATTTTCCCATCTTTTTTTTTTTATAGTTTCCAAGCTTTTTGAAGGAAAAATAAACATAATAACATGCAAATTTAGGTTTCTTAGCACCATTCAGCCATCAGTTAATTATAAGAAGCTAATATACAATACTGAGAACACTTACGTTTATTAAAACTATCTTTATTCTTTTTACAAATTATAAGTACTAGTGGACTTATGTAAATAAGCTAAATTATGAAGATCAGAATATGAGTATATATAAATATTCACTAATCTGAATCTCTGCTGCAAAATTCAAGTGTGATATTTGAATATAAATATGAATATCCCAATACCATTTACTGACAGCTGCTTACACTGTGGGGAAATTAGAAGCATATTTCATGTGGATAAATAATTAGCATTTGGCAAAAGCTGCAGTTAAATTTCTGAATAGGGGCCCAGCCTGTTTTGAAACTTGTACCATATTACATCCTTTATTCCGGAAAAATTACACTGTCTTACTATTTCCCGAACACATTCAACTTTGTGCTTCTATACATTTGCTCATACTGTTCATTTTGCCTGAACTGCACTTACCCCATCTCTGAGTTCTGCATCCCATCCATCCACCTTGGCCCTCTTCAGATACCAGCTTCTTCAGAAGAGGTTCCCAGACTACCCCCAATGGTAAGCAAGCTCCCTTGCTTCTGCACCCCTGCAGGGTCTTGATGATTTCTTCTCTGTGCTCGTTTTGACCATGTCCTAGGTAGCAAACCGCTTGAGGATAGGGTCTGTCTAGTGCTCCTTTGAATGCCCCTGCAGGTGCCTAGTATCTGTCAAACAGAATCGAGTGAATGAATATTGCTAAGTGTTTTTTCTTGTGTGGGATGTTCTTTCTAGGCTTTAGCTATCACTTATCACTCCAGTCAGTCAACAAATACCTATTACATGCCTTCTGTATGCTGGGTACCTGAGATAAACAGGTGAAAGAGAAAGGCACGTCCTCTGTCTCGAGTTCCAGCTGTTAGGAGGCAGACAATCTACGCGAAAACCAATAAATCAATGACCGTTTTAGACAAAGTAAATACTCAGAAGGCAACGTAGTAGAAAGTACCTTTGGGTGCTGCATTAGCTAAGGAGGCCAGGGTAGGCCTCCTAAACAAAGGACAATTCAGAGTTGAGAACTGAATGATGAGAGCGACACAGCCGGGGGAAGATCTGTGGGAACATTTTTTTAAGCAGAAGGAACAGGAAGCATTCAAACCCTACGGTGGGAACGGTGGGAACGAACCTTGAGTGTTTTAGGGACAGAAGGAAGAGGGCGTTGTAGGTATAGCCCGGTGAAGGAGGCCAGGGCTAGAGAGGGATGTTCAGGACACTGACAAGAATCAGATCAGAGCATTGTGGACTGTAATAAGGAATTCGCTATGCAAAGCCTTTGGTAGTTCGTAGACTCTTTTTTTTTTTTTTTAAGATTTTATTTATTTATTTGACAGAGAGACAGCGAGAGAGAGGGAACACAAGCAGGGGGAGGGGGAGAGGGAGAAGCAGGCTTCCCGCCGAGCAAGGAGCCCGATGTGGGGCTCGATCCCAGGACCCTGGGACCATGACCTGAGCCAAAGGCAGACGCTTAACGACTGAGCCACCCAGGCGCCCCAGTAGTTCATAGAAAATGAATACGAACCAATTCATATCCAAATGAATTCTCCATCTTGTTTTTTGTAGGTACTGGCCATGATGTTCACTACCTTGTTATAATGAGTTAGATGTTAACTTGGTATCTACAAATACAAAAATATTTCTGTACTGAAGACAAGTACGTTACAGACATAAGTGCCATTCTTAAGAATTACATGTTGGCAATGCTTAAGTTACTGTACATAAAAAAAATTAGTGTCACCACATAATGCCATAAAATTAAATGTGTTTCCAGTAAACTATAGTTTTGAGTGTGTCTTTTCTGGTTTCTGAGGTTGTTGGAGGAAAAGTGAATTTAGACTACTTCCTCTTAAGAGCTTTTTGTATGAATGTAATTCAATTTGGAGTATTTTTTAAAATAATTTTTATTAATTTTTTTTTATTATTATTCAGTAAACTCTACCCCCAGCGTGAGGCTGTAACTACTCACAACCCTGAGATCAAGAGTTGCCTGCTCTACTGACTGAGCCAGCCGGGCACCCACAATTTGGAGTATTTTAGTTGGTCAAGAATACCATAATACATATTAGATGTGTGTGTATGTCCAAATCCCTGAAGTGGCTTAATAAATATGACTTAATTACTGAGAATGGCAAATAAATAGAATATATCTAATCTCATCGGTCAATGCAAATGTTTAGGTATAATTTGTTTCTAATTTCACATGGCACAGGCCCGGCGTTCCCTGTCATACGCCTCGTGGGTGGGAGAAGTGCGTGGGAAGGCCGAGTGGAAATCTACCATGCTGGTCAGTGGGGGACTGTCTGTGATGACCAGTGGGATGAAGCGGATGCAGAAGTGATCTGCAGGCAGCTGGGCCTGAGGTTTGTTTTTATTCTCATTTTAAGTTGTGGAATCCATTCTTTCCATACCCAGAGGTAGGTGCCTGTGTGTTTAAATTGTACGTTTCCTCAAACAAATAGAAAAAGTCACCTTGCGATCTTTGTACTAGGCTGTAGGCTCCCTGAAGAGAATTTATATGTACCTATAGGTCTAACCTGTTTATGTCTGAATTCGGTTGATTTTATATGCCTGAGAATCTCAGCCTTTTACTCCTTTTCATTAATCGTATTTACATTACCCCAGGTAATGACCGGCACCGTCAGTAGCAGAGACTTACTGAAGTCATCTGCTGAAACTCCTTGTTAGGCTTTAATTGAAGTTCGGCTTCTCTCCCCAAGTATGATCTCAACTTTTGACTTTGCTTTCTTATTTTTTAGGTATGTGCTTAGAACAGAGGATGTTTATTAATGTGCAAAGGAAATAATCCCCACGTAGGATGTGGAAATGAAGCATGTGTAATAAAAACAGCAGTATGATAATCAACATTCCATGTTGCTTGAGTTGTGATTATTCTGGAATAGTATGTTGTGATTTTGGATTTTTAATCCCTTTGTTTAGTGATTCTGAATATTGGTATAACAAGCCTAAAAGTTTCTCTAGAATTATATTAGGGGATTGGGGCGCCTGGCTGGCTCAGTCAGTTGAGCGTCCAACTCCTGATTTGGCTCAGGTCATGATCTCAGGGTCGTGAGATGGAGCCCCTCAATGGGCTCTGTGCTCAGTGTGGAGTCTGCTTGAGATTCCCTCTCCCTCTGCCCCACCCCCTATCCCCCCACACTCTCTAAAATAAGTAAATAAATCTTAACAAAATAAAATAAAATTAGGGGATCTTTTCAAAGTTGATATTTTACTTTAAATTTGTAAATTTCTTCATTTAGAGCTTTGTGAGTGGTGATGGGGAGGCCTCTTTACATCAAAGGTTTTCTGTTCATGTATCACTTTCTTTTCAGTTAAGCATAATCCTTGACACTGGAGCATGATTTTTGAACCTTAAACCATTTTTACTCATTTGTTTTGCAACTGTTTTTGCAACTGACCCCCCTCTTTTTCAAAACTCTATACTGAAGCAATTTAAAGTAAAATACTGACATTTATCATTTTACCTCTAAATACTTCAGTACATATCTCTTAAAAATAAGAACATGGTGCTACATGGCCAAATTAACATTATCACAACTAATATAATTGATAATCATTCTTTTTTTTTTTTTTAGAGAGAGAGAGTGTTTGTGAGCAGTGGGGGAGGGGCAGAGGGAGAGAGAGAGAATCTTAAGCAGACTTCACACCCAGCATGGAGTCCTACTTGGAGCTGGATCTCACGACCTTGAGATCATGACCTGAGCTGAAATCAGATGCTTAACTGACTGAGCCACCTAGGTGTCCCATTGGTAATCATTCTTAACATTTTCTAATATCCCATCACATTCAGTTTCCTGTAGTGGCCCCCACAATGTTCTTGACAGATGGATTGTCTTAAGCAGAATTTAGTCCAGGATCATGCAGTGCATCTGGATGTTGTATACCTGAAGTCTCTTTGAATCTAGAACAGCCTCTTGTTATTCATGACACTGACTTGTGGAAGAGACAGAACGGTTGTTCTGGAGAATGTCCTTTCCTCATTGATTTGTCTCATTTCTTCCTACTGGTGTCATTTCATTTACTCCTCTGGCTCTTGTGATTCCTGAAACTGGAGTCTAGATCCGAAGCTTGATTAGATCAAAGCAGGTATTTTGGCCAGGATTCATCACAGGTGATGTGTCTTGGGGTCTTCCCATTGCTGAGGCCAAGCTTGAGCACTGGGTTGAGGGGGCATTGGCCTGATCCTTCACTGTCAAGTTACATTTCCCCTGTAACTGATTCTGGGACCTAATTGCTATTTCAGAGTTCATGTGTAGGACAGGACCGGCATGGCAAATCCTGTGTCTCTGGAGCTTATAATTATCAGTGATGTGAAGTTTACTGGTATGATCATTTTCTTTGGGTGGGTTAGAAATAAGGCCAACCAGTTCTTGTTGAGAAAATTGTTATTAAACATTAATTTTGAGACTACATTTTCAAAATGTTCTGAGGGGGTATCAATTTCAATACCAATTTCCCTCAAATTTCCAGGTGTTGGTTATGGATTCAACACAGCATAAAATTATCATCATGTGCCCTGTACTCAAAACAACCTGGATTTGAGTCCCACTTCTGGAGATGAGAAAAGTTAGATCCCCTCATCTGTAACGTATTTCTTGACATACAGGGACTGTTGTCTAACAGCACAGTTAGCTGTTAGCACACATAATATGTATATAATACACATTGGCTATCAAGGTCAGTCAAATTAGGGACTGTTATAGTTGAAAGATGTTATTAACAATCAAAGTAAACCGAGTATTTGGTGGTAGATTATCCAATACTATTTCTCTATCCAGGAGTTCTATTTAGTTAGCTGTATCTATGAATTTCATATTTTTTGAAACATTCTAGTGTGTGTATATGTATATTTACCAGGTTACCAATTACGTGGTGCTAATTGATTTTCAAGTTAGTTACTAAGAAACCTATGTCTTTGCCAAAAATATTAAGAACTTTAAGGGCAGAGTAATAGCATATTTAACATTGCTAGCTGCAGTATGGATTACTCTAAATTTAAGCTATAAGGCATTTTTTTATTATTAATATATTTCTGTGGGGAAAAGGCAGGTTTTGTTGCATAGAAAAATGCATAGAAAACTTAGAGTATTGGGGTGCCTGAGTGGCTCAGTCGGTTAAGCGGCTGCCTTCAGCTCAGGTCATGATCCCTGGGTCCTGGGATCGTGTTCCGTGTCGGGCTCCCTGCTCAGCGAGGAGCCTGTTTCTCCCTCTCCCTCTGCCTGTTGCTCCCCCTGTTTGTGCTTTCTCTCTCCCTCTCTCTCTGTCAAATAAATAGATAAAATCTTAAAAAAAAAAAAAGAAAATTTAGAGTATCATAGAGATACACCATGAATATTGATTGTATTTATAGTTACAGAAGTGATTCTAAAAATTTATGTTGTAATGTAGAATTCTTTCTTGAGAGCCAAAGATTTCTTTCACTTAAATAAACAGTTCTAAAACAAAGACCATGTTGACAAACAATAGTCTATTATGTAGAAAGGATACAGAGATGGAATCACCAGGAAGATTATATTGATGTTGGACACATGCGAGGGCCAAGTGTTTCCATCTTTCTCGAGCATTAACTTACTGCCATCTTTTGTATGAGGAGATTCATGTTTGGAAAAGTAATTGAAAGGAAACATATCTCCAGATATACAAGGCAGCAAAAATCCTCCACGAATCTGTGCAACAACCGATGATTCAGCTTGGTAGACATTTGTTTTTATTGTAAGCACACTGATGCTCTGAGCTGATAGTGTTTGGTTTTGCCTTTCTTTCATTTGATCTTACAATTATCTCCTAAGTTCGCATTAAAGCAATATTCTGCAACTGCTCCTCCTTTACAATTTGTTTGCTTATTTAGTGCCACGGCACTTTCAGATGAAATAGCTTTTAATGGCACATGTTTGATAACAGCATAATTGTTGCTTGTCTCAATTTATGATTTTTTTCTTAAGCAAATGTCATCTCCATCTTATTTGTTTGTTGAATTCCCAAAGAGAAACTACATCATGCCTCCCTGGAGTGGCGGCTACAATTTCTTCGGGAGACGCTGTCTTGTTGGCTTTCATTTTTTAATGGTGTCTGTAGAGTTTGGGAGCTGGCAAGCTTCCTACACACAAAAGAAATCACTGTACTTTTGATACTCAAATTTGAGTAACCCACAACTTGGAGAAAGATTAGGAACAGGAAAGGAGGCAGCCAGATGTTAGGAAATTGTCTTGAGAACGTGTGTGTACACAGCGAAGTTTCAGGTGAAGACGTTTGTTTTTATTTATTTTTATTTACTTAAATTCAATTAGCCAACATATAGAACATCACTAGTTTCAGATGTAGAGTTCAGTGAATCATCAGTTTCATAGAACACCCAGTGCTCATCACAACACGTGCCCTCTTTAATACCCATCACCCAGTTACCCCATTCCCCCACCCTCCTCCCCTCCAGCAACCCTCAGTTTGTTTCCTACAGTTAAGAGTCTCATGGTTTGTCTCCCTCTCTGATTTCTTCCCATTCCGTTTTTCCCTCCCTTCCCCTATGATCCTCTAGGCTGTTTCTTATATTCCTCATATGAGTGAAACCATATGATATTTGTCTTTCTCTGATTGACTTATTTCACTCAGCATAATACCCTCCAGTTCCACCCATGTTGATGTAAATGGTAAGATTTCATCCTTTCTGATGGCTGAGTAGTATTCCATTGTACATATTCCATTGTATATATATACCACATCTTCTTTATTCATCCATCCGTCGATGGACATCTGGGCTCTTTGCACAGTTTGGCTATTGTGGACATTGCTGCTATAAACATTGGGGTGCAGGTACCCCTTCGGATCACTACGTTTGTATCTTTGGGGTAAATCCCTAGTAGTACAATTGCTGGGTCATAGGGTAGTTCTATTTTTAGCTTCTTGAGGAACCTCCATACTGTTTTCCAGAGTGGCTGCACCAGCTTGCATTCCAGGTGGAGTTCCTTTTGTGCAGTTAAAGTGAAAACATTTCCCATGTCTTTCAGGACTCTTAAAAGCATAGTTTAGAAGTATGACATCATATTTTATTGTGTGGATATGCCATAATTTACATAGGAATTTAAAAATTGTGAACACATCTTTCTTAGGTTTTTTTTTGACTATAAAATTATCATACAAAACCATTTTATTGAGTAGTCAGAATAAAAATCTGGTACAAATTGCTTTTAAAAAGTACTTCTTTGCTTTTTTATTTTACTGTTCATTAATTTTTTTGTATTTTATAGATTTTACCATAAAGACAACCTGGAGACCTTGTGTGACAGAAGAGGAAATTAGGCCCTCTAAGATTACCCAAAGCCCTAAAGTCATACTGTTAAGTGAGAACCAAAATCCTTTTTTTTTTTTTTTAAAGTAGGAGCCCAGTGAGGGGCTTGAACTCACAATCCTGAGATCAAGACCTGATCTGAGATCAAGATGAGATCAAGAGTAGGACGCTTAACTGACTGAGCCACCTAGGCGCCCCAAGAACCAGAATCTTGAGATTTATGGTTCCCAGTGTAGAATTTTTTTTCTTTCATGTCATACTATTTGCAAAATAGCCAGGTGTTAATAAGAATAAATACAAAGATAGGGCTGAAAGAAATAGAGAATTCAAGAGATAAAAGTTCATTGTAGGGAGAAAATGCTGATAGACTGTATTTGAGGTGCCATAGGTACCCCACTGAAAATGCCCCAGGAGGCTGTAAGATAGCAAAGTGTTTCAGAGTCAGCTCTGTAGCCAGACAAGCTTCACCAGCAGTGGTGGTGTAACGCTGGGCAAATTACCTAACTTCTGGGCCTCAGTTTCCTCTTCTGTAAATTGGGGATCATAATATTGGGTTGTAGGGAGGATTAAATGAGTTAATACACATAAACCTGGTAGACCAGTGCCTGGCCTTTAGTTTGTAAATTTTTAACCTAAATATTGTACAAAAAAAATGATACTAATCTTTTAAGTCTCTAAAAATGTGTTAGCTAAGAATGCATTCTTACTGTGTTGACTGTTGTAACATTCAGCATCTTATATGTTCAGTGGCCATCGATATTTCTTCTGTGAATAGCCTCATCTTCTCCATGCCCCTATTTTTTTTTAATGTTTGTTGTTTTGTCTCTCATTATAATGTAATTATAACATTATTATTATTGATTTCTAAGAATTTTTTTTTCTTTGATTGCTGTTATATATTACAAATATTTCTTCCTGCCTGTTGGTTTGCCTTTTGACTCTGATTATGGTGTATTTTGCTATACAGTAGTTTAAATTTATATGTGGTTAAATTAAACTTTTTCAGTTTTTCTGACTTCTGGGTTTCTTATCCTACTCAGGAAATCCTCTTTGTCCCAAGGTGGTGTTATCCTTATACTATGTTCTTTATTTTATTCCAATACTTCTTAGCCCTCCTTTCTTCCCATCCTCACCCTTCCTTCCTTCCTTCTCTCTCTCTCCCTCTCTCTCCTTCTTTCTTTTTCTTTCTTTCTTTCTTTCTCTCTCTCTCTTTCTTTCTCTTTCTTTCTTTCTCTTCCTTCTTTCCTTCTTTTCCTTCCTTCCTTCCTTTCTCTTTCTTTCTTTCTTTCTTTCTCTCGCTTTCTTTCTCTCTCTTTCTTTCTCTCTTTTTCTTTCTTTCTTCTTTCAATATTTAGATCTTTAAACCATCTGGAATTTCCTTTTTGTTTCTGTTATGAGTTAGGGATCAAATTTTATCTTCTTCTGTATTCCTTATACAACCTAATTCTGGCTCAGTGAATTGTACCCACTGAAATGTTCTTACGTAGGGTCTTTTTCTTTCCTGGCATTTATCCCAGGGCAAAGATCCAAGAAGGCTGTTAATTGGCCTTCCTCCAAAGCTTTCCTTCCTGGCTTCTCCATGACCTGCATCAGTCACCCTGTCTCCCCCTTATCTGTTCTGCAACTTTCAGTGTTCTCTAAATCAGCTTCCATATTTGCTTTCATGAATCTCTTTCCTTTAGAGCAAGGGTCACCAAACTTTTTCTGTGAAGGGCCAGATAGTAAGTACTTTGGACTTTGCAACTACTCAGCTGTGCCTTTGTGGTGCAAAAGCAGCCACAGACACTAAGTTGGAATAAGTGAGGCTTTGTTCCAATCAAACCTTATTTCTGGACAGTGAAATTTGAATTTCATAGGATTTTCCCATGTCAAAAATTACATTCTTGATTTGATTTCTTTTCCCTACCATTTATAAAATGTAAAAGCCCCTCGTAGCGCATGGACCATATAAAAACAGGTGGTGTGCTGAATTTATCCCTTGGGCTGTAGTTCGCTGATCTCTGCTCAGGAGCCGCCAGCAAAGGCTTCTTTGCTCCCATCCTGGATTCTCCCTTTTCACAAAGATGCAGCAGGTCTCAGGAACGCAACTCCAAGCGCTTCCCTTCTTGTTTGAACCAAACTCAGTAAAATAGCACAGTACAGTTCAGTTATTCAGGCTTCCAAATTCTGGGACTAAGTCACAATCGGTATGTGACTCGAAAGTTTTATTTCCAGTGGGTATCACACTGTTCCCCTGTTCAGTTTAGTCTGAATGTTGTATGAAAATACTGTCTTTTGGAAGGGGTATTTATTCTACTAGGGGCAACTTGAAACAGGATAATTTATTCACAGCCTTATAGACTACCATTGCAAGATCATTTTGGTATAGAATATATTTTTCTGGGAGCATATATGCTGTCTTTAGAAAAACATTGTTTTGGCTATTACAATTGTTTTTGATAAAATGCCTATGTGCACTAAAACGCTTGAAATTGTTGGCCTCTGAGGATCTATGTCCCTACCACAGGAATACCAAGTTGAGTGATGTAAGTCATAGAGTAATGATCTTTTGGGCCATCATCTTGTAATCCTTAATAAAAAACAATACAGATTTGTCTGGTATCTTATAAGCTACGAATTACTCCCATAAGTATATTCTTTTAAAAACGATTTTAAAATAAATAAATGAGTAAAACACATTTACAACCTTAAATCCAGAAAATGTTGAGATTTTTCATTGATTCTCCCTTTCCCACCATTCCCCTGACTTGGGGAGCGGGGAGAACAAAAACTGTGTTGTTTAAACGAAATACCAAATGGTTTTTAGATCAATTGCTTAGCAGTGAAAAATATGCTGTTCATCAGCTATGAGGGGGAAGCTCTTGATAGTGCCAGGAGGGAAAGGGGACCAATGTTTATTGAGTTCTTACTTTGCATCAGTTTAATTCTTAAAACCCTGCAAGGGAGTGGTTATCATCCCTTTGCTCAAAAGAAGCATTTTATGCCTGGAATGTTTTTGTAACTTCCCCAGGGCAGTTTCACTTGTTAAAGATAGAGCCCAGATTTGAGCCCGAGGGTCTGTTTCCACATCTACTGTTCTTCCTCAAAGATTCTGCTTGGAAAGAATAAGCTTTTTGACATGGACAGTAATATATGAATACTTATATATGTCCATTACACTCTTCTGTGGGGACACAGATACACATTGAAACAACTGGAAACTTCATTTAAAAAATCCTATTAATTGAGCATTGATTCCTTCTTTCTGGAAGAGTAGAAATGGCTTTTTGTTCTGTCATGTTTCCCCTAGTAAAACAAATTCACTCACAAAATTATTTGATAATATCATCTGTGTTAGGATATTTTTTTCTTTCACATTTGTCTGATTAGCACTAGATATTAATCCTTAATATTTGTTGGGGCAGACTTTTCAGAGTTCCCTGTATGACAGATATCAGATAGTGATTCAAGTGTGAGGATTCTGAATTTAAAAATTTTAACTCCAACAAAATATCTTGCATAAGCTACCGTCTTTTTCTTTTCCTCCCTGCTTCACACCTCCTCCTATAAACATTCCTTTATCCTTCCTCTTGCAAACTCTGAATTTTAAACAGAAAATGGGTCAGGTGATAATGGAACAAGTATTTGCTTTAATGGTTAAAGGGTTTAACTTTCAAATGTTTTGGGATTTGTTTTAGACATGTGTTCTCTTAAAAGAAACTTCTATAGTATCTAGTAAAATTAGTCAAACAAGTTCTTCTTTAACCAGGAAGTTGATTATCCAAGACTTGGCCATTGCTGGAGTATTATAATCATTTAGCAAACTTTTTTTTCCCTTCGATATATTTTGGTTGTAAATTCCCAAGGTAGTTATAAAGTTATGAGAAAAAGGCAACTAAAATAATGGGGAATATTATTGAATATTGAATGGGGAGCATCATTGTAAAACAAACCAAAAATATGAATGTTCTACTCTAAAAATTAAAAGGCTAAAAGGGGTTGACATGGCAATTTCTGAAGTTATTAATTATTTTGACAGTCAATTGTGATCTTCTTCACTGAAATCTGGGGTTCTAGAATGTGGGATCACTTTGAATTGTGGGAGAAGTAAATTTAGTACACATAAATTTGAGTGGAGAGATGTTTTAGTTAGAAATATGTTTGGCTCTGAGTGACAGAGAACTGGAAGTAACAGTGGCTTAAATAAGATGAGAGTTTATTTGTCTCTCAAGAGACCAGAGGTAGCCAGCTCCAGGCTAGTCTAGTGGTTCCACAATCATCAGGCCCCAGGCTTTTTCTTGCTGGTAGTTCTCTCATTCTTAGTGTGGCACCTCATGGACTAGTATAGCTTCTCAAGCTCTGGGCATCACCTCTGCCTTGCAGTCAACAGGCAGGAGGATGTGGGACAAGGATACATCCTGGAAGTGATACACGACAACACTTCTACCTAAATATCTGTGTTCAAAACTTAGTCATCTCAAATGGGTACAGAGTTTCAGTTCAGGATGACTAGAGTTCTGGAGATGGTTGGTGGTGATAGTTGCACAATAATGAGGAGGTACTTAGTGCCCCTGAACTGTACACTTAAAAATGGTTAAAATGGTAAGTTTTATGTAATGTATATTTTAAAACAAACAAACCTAGTCATCTGGAAGGAGAAGAGGCTGGGAAATGGGGTCTTTACTCAGGATAGCCATTGCCCTCCTAAAAATCGGAGGTTCTGTTGCTAACGAAGAAAAGGAGAGTGAGTATGGGGGAGTAACTTGCAGTCTAAAACATTTGTGATGGCCAAAAATAGAAAGAGCAACAAACAAAGGAACAAGAAAGGAGTACAGCAAGTCATGTATGACCTGTGGAGTGAATTGGTCAGGGGAAGTATGGATTAATCATAGTTATATATTTCCTGGGGCAAAAGAAATTCTGTCAGATGAATTTTTGGTGTCTAATCCAGAATTCTTATCTTTGTTCAGTGGCATTGCCAAAGCATGGAATCAGGCGTATTTTGGGGAAGGCTCTGGGGCAATAATGTTGGATGAGGTACGCTGCACTGGGAATGAGCTTTCTATTGAGCAATGTCCAAAGAGTTCCTGGGGAGAGCATAACTGTGACCATAAAGAAGATGCTGGAGTGTCCTGTACCCCTCTAACAGGTAGGAGTTTCACCCCATTTATCTACCAACCCTTGCCCCCAGCACCATCTGGGCTTACCTTCTCTTCTCCTCAATTTAGATAATATAACTAAATGAGCATGCCAGTAAACCCTGCAAATAAAACTAAAAACAAAACAACTCACGAAAAACAAAAACCAAACAACTGACACAAATTGTGTATCAACATGGTATGTCCTTGTTCATAAATATTTCTGAATTTTTCACTTTTTTTATAACATATAAAAATGTTAAAACATATAAATATGTTTTAGAACATATAATTTTTTGTAATATATAGTGCCCAATAATCAAAATCAGTGTGCAATGATAAATTTCACATTATTAGGTATATACTTAAGTCCATTTATTTATTGACCTGCCTTGACTCTCAGAATGTGTTTATAGCTAGTGAAACTGTATTGATGGGATTGTTGGTTAAAGCACACCAGTAAAGGAACCAAGTTAACTTGGCTGTGCTCAATTCTCTGACTATTCCAAATTGTAGCACACTTGTCTGGATGTGTCTCATATGTTATAAGAAGGGCATGTCTGAGTACAAATGAGTGTGTGTGTATGTACTTATATGTTTTGTGGGAAGAAGAGGCAAAAGGACAGACGAGAAGTCAGGTCATTACAAATGCATTGTTTCTATGGTAAAAAGAACTTAAAGAAAAAGGTTCGGGTTTTAATCTCTCTTGAAAAAACCAAAATAAAAACTTCAGAGGGTCCATGAAATGCTGAAGTTATACCTTTTTATTTACATAGTTCTGTACATGATGTTGTTTTTATTTATTAGCAGAATAACACGTTTATATACGATAGAAATATAAAATTTATGCCAGATTTTAAACCAGAGCACATCATCTTCTTGGGTCTCCATTTCCTCCTCTTTCACATGAGTAAAGTCTTGTAGTGTTACTGTGATGGTCAGATGAGGTAAAATGTGTACCAGTGTTTTGCAGACTATAAAGTGTTACATTAAGAAGTGATTGTGTTGCTAAGAGACCATTTACTTTAAAGATCCCAGAGAATCATGAAAGTAAGACCTTTACCCAGGATTATTTATATGTTTCATTTGGGGATGTTTGTATTATTTTGCATGGGAAAGGCTTTTAAATCCACTTGTTGAGGGATAAATTTATTGTATATCTGCTTAGAAGCTCTTAACAGGGTTCTATGGGAATTAATTATTCATTGAACTCATAAGCTTGAAATTCAGATCTGTATTATCAATAAAAGAACAAAAGCGAGACATGTACTCTAGCTTTTATAATTTATGAATGCCTAAGTAATAATAAGTGCATTGACATGATAGGTCACACTTTAACCAGAATAGCTTTTTCTGTCTTCATATTTCAGTATTTTTTCATTTGCAGTTAAAATTTTGAACTATTTCCAAGTTACTGTTTTCTTATTTTTTAAATGTAAATGACTAGTATTTCTCATACTTACCAAGATTGAAGCTACAAGAAATTTCCCAAATATTTGTTTAATCTGGAGAAATCTAAATAACTACTTTGGAATTATATCAGAATATATTTTTCTACTCAGGAAATAGGAGCACAAATAAGAAGAAAATAATATTTTGTTAGGACAGATATGTGTTATGTCATACTTCAGAAACAATCCAATGACCTCGGATCATTGAGCACCGTCCCAAAATAAGTTTAACAAAAAGCCTAGAGAGAGACCTGAAGGGGTGATAATTCTAGTGAAGTTAAAATGTTGTTCTCCCTGTTTTTGATCATTGATTTGCTTAGTCCCTCTGTCTCCTTCTTACCACAGATGGGGTCATCAGACTTGGAGGTGGTAAAGGCAGCCACGAGGGCCGCCTGGAGGTGTATTACCGGGGACAGTGGGGGACTGTCTGTGATGATGGCTGGACTGAGCTGAATACATATGTGGTTTGCCGACAGCTGGGATATAAGTAAGGCCCATTGATATGAGGAAGCTAAATGCCAAATTATATTTTTAAAATTCTCCTTTTGTAACCCTTACTTGTAATATCTATAATACTAACAATACATGTTCTCTGTCATCTGTCTACCTCTGTCTACCTACCTACCTATTCACCTCTCTATATATGGAAGAACAAAAAAACCCCAATTAAAAAAATATTTTCTATGATGATGAATAACCGTATCTTGTTATTTATCTCATTACCTTTCCTGTCACCACCTTTCTTCTTTGAGTAATTGGTTAGAGCCAGGGGATGACTTTTAAGTTTCTTTGTGTCTATTCAAGTAAGACCGTATGCTTCGAATGCTCGTCTTACTCTGACGCATCACTTCTATTAGATGTTGTTAGTTCTGACATCATTGTGTCTAAAATTGCAGGGAAGTCCAGTGTCAAATGCTTTGGTATTATATTATTCCCTTTCTCAAATGTGATGATAATTATCACTTTTACTTGAGAAAAACGGCCTTCTTGTCATGAGATGACCTTTCGAACTCACCCTTGACCTGACTCGTAAAAGCTCGTATCACACTTTGGGCCGTGTATTTCGTGTCACACACATACTGCATTCCAGAGTAAAGACCTCAGTTGGTTGAAGTAACTGCAAATGATGCCTTTTAGCTACTATTTGAATGAAGCCCATGAATGCCCATTCTTTCTTGTTTTTCATATTTCTCCGTCATGTTTGAATTAATTGTCTCAAGCTTGAAAAAATTGGCAAAATTATTCCATGCTTGAGATAGAACTAATTGCAAATATGCACTAAACCTTAAAAATATACTTTCATCCAAGCTAGGTATGATCATGTTTAAACATATTTTTAAATTTGTAAAAGTAGTATAAAATATTAGAGTTTGGAAAATAAAAATTAAGAACTATCCATAATTTTCCCATTCTTAGAATACTATTATTATTATACCTTGTGTGTATAATTTAATAACAGCTCTAATAGTATGTACTTTTTCTATCCATATTTCTTACCTTTATATTACTACAGTCATAATTTTTTTTTAAAGATTTTATTTATTTATTTGACAGAGAGAGAGAGAAACACAGCAAGAGAAGGAACACAAGCAGAGGGAGGGGGAGAGGGAAAAGCAGGCTTCCTGCTGAGCAGGGAGCCTGATGCGGGGCTTGATCCCAGGACCCTGGGATCACGACCTGAACCGAAGGCAGACGCTTAACGACTGAGCCACCCAGGCGCCCCTATAGTCATAATTTTTAATGACAATATAATGTCCATTGAATGTTCATACCATAATTTACTTAATATTTAGGTTAGTTTAATTTTCCTGTTATAAACAATGATATCATGAAAATATAAATACATGTTATTGCCCAATATTTTGGATTTTCGTGGGCAGTGCATTTATAATTATTGTGTCAAGGGGTGTGACATGCCAGCCAAAGAGATATTAATATTTAATTAATAAGAATTACTTAATAAATGCTATTTCATCTTTCTGTGAATCTCTGTTAGGCCTGAGAACTGTATTCTGTTTTCACAGATTTAGAAAGATTCATAAATACTATTAGTTACTATATTCATATTTTTCCTTATTAATAAAAACAATGGAGTGATAGTTTTTCTCCATATTTTATTGATTTTGTTTCACAAATATATTCAGTTTTTCTTGTATATACAGAGTATCAGAACTTAATGGTTCTAAAAATGTTCTCACTAATATTTGTTAAAAGTTTTAAATGATTGTGTTAGAAGGTAGAATAGGCATGGCCCACATTTACTTTTTGGTTTACAGAGGAATTTCTAAAACAGTACCATTTTGAACTGAGGAAGGGGTGAACTCTGGGTTTCTTTTTACAAATGAAATCCCAAAGTAAAATGACCTCTTGTTATCTGTTATATAGTTGATATGGACAGAGAGTAATCAGATTGATGCATTTTGTAGAAAAATGGTGTAAGATCAAAGTGGTAGCAATATGAGGTTTAGGATAATTTTTCCTTGCTAAGATTTGATTAGTCAGCAAAATGGAAATCTTAGAATAATTAAAAGTTGCACTGTTTTAATTTATTAAAATGTTCATTTTCTTAAATAAATGTAATAAATAAGTGCCCAGGAAAGTAACTGGGAAAATTCATGCCAGAAAGAAAGATCTCTTCATATTTATACAGAAATAATAAAAACATTCAGTGAAGGAAGTGACTAATATAAAATTTTATGAGTAAGAGTTTAATTACTTAGACTCTTAGAACTGAAAGAGCCCTTAAATAATTTTTAGCTCAGTGATTTCTGGAGGTTTGGGTTTTACAGAAAAAAAACAAAAAACAAAATTGGGGGAAGGATGAATGAAAGTAGAGACTGTGACTTAGTTACCAACTTTTTATTTTGCAGATCTTTCCTATTTCCACAATGTATATATTAATTATATTTTTTTGTAGAGCATTGTTACAAATAAAGTCAACTAGAACTCAAATATAATTTATAAAAATTTTAAAAATCAGATTTATGTAACCTTATGAAAAGCTAAGAGCATCACCATTATTCTGATTTTGGTGGGCCGAAATCCAAGTCTGATCATGGATTGGGTGTAGTGCTTGAGGAATCACTGAACTAATATACAGTTTTATTTTGGAAGAGATGATACCAAAGAAGTCTAGAGAAGCTGATGAAATCAGGTGAGCTCAGGTGGCTCTTGAGAGGCTGGTATAAGACAACTGTTCTAATTTTATGGTTCATGGTGTTATTTCCATTGTCAGGAATTCTCTTTGGTTGGTGAGTTAAATTGTAACCAAAACACAAGAATGAATGGGAAAGAAGGATTAATTATCCATTAGGTACCTGTGGAATCAATCGAAAATTGTTAAAATGATCAAAATGTGTGATGGGGTGAACACAGCTCTTAGAATTGTGTCCTTCAGAGTTTTATTTATATTTTTTAGATTTATTTATTTATTTATTTGAGAGAGAGAAAGAGAGAATGAGCAGGGGGAGGGGCAGAGGGAGAGGGAGAAGCAGGCTTCCTGCTGAGTAGGGAGCTCAATGCAGGGCTGGATCCCAGACCCTGAGATCATGGCCTGAGCCGAAGGCAGACACTTAACCGACTGAGCCACCCAGGTGCCCTGGAACTGTCCTTCAGATAAGAGAAAGAAGAAACACTTATCCTCTGGAGTCATGATGTTTAATTAGGTTGTTTGTTTTATGATTTGTGGTTCCTTGAAACAAGAGACAGCAGTTCTATGCATGATGTTCATTTTATTGCCACAGATACGGCAAACAATCCCCTGCAAACCACTTTGAAGAAAGCACAGGGCCCATATGGTTGGATGACGTCAGCTGCTCGGGAAAGGAATCCAGTTTCGTTCAGTGTTCCCGGAGGCAGTGGGGAAGGCACGACTGCAGCCATCGGGAAGATGTTGGTATCACCTGCTACCCTGGTGGCAATGGATACAGACTATCTCTGGGTGAGGATTGGCCACAGCTTTGGAGTATCCATAATTCAATAGCCACTGCACCTCTATCCACTGGTCTGGAATGGGAAGCATTTCTCAGCTTTGGCTTTTTTTTTTAGTCAATTTTCTATAATGCTCTAAATAAATTTTTCAGTCTTTCCACCAATGTTATAAAATTTCTATTCCTCAAGTTATTGTTCTTTACATAGAAGCTTAAGTTTCTCACTAAAAATCTTTATAATCACATGTTCTGAAAGGTGGAATAAAGATGCTGCGGTGTCCATTCCTCCCCTCGTTGGTCACCTGTTCTGATTCTCATTCACCTTGAATTCTAATGACCAATTTGGGACAGGATTTTAACAAATTGCAACAAAACAATAGCTCTCTCTCCTATCCCCCATCATTTACTTCTTCTTTAGTCCCGAGGCCTTGCCAGTCACTGGTCACCAGCCTTTATTGCTCTGTACTAAGATAGATCTTTCAGGTTTCTCAGTGGGTTCCTGAAAGAATTTATTGGAGTAAATAACCCATTCGTCTTTCTAAGATATCCTGTTACTCTAGAAACCCATCTGTGTCCTTTACTATTCCCCCATTCCAAATTTCGTTAGATTTGTAGTCAGATAAAAGGTAACTAGCTCATCTAACAGTCTGGAAATATTTGTGGGTAAAGGTCCTTTTGTGAGCAGAGAGCAACTACATGTCCTTGACAGACTTAACATCTGACTGTTGTTAACATCTTAACATCTTTTGAGGATGGCAGAATAATTATGAATGAAAAATATAGGGGGAGATATTAAAAAGACTTGCCAAGACTACCACGGCTCCATTATATATCTAAACACATAGATTTTTGGTGAATAGATGTTAAAATAATCACAAGTGGTCTTTACTTTTCACCCTCAGAGTTGTATCAACCCCTTTTGTATCGTCCTATTTTGAGATTGTGAAGCTTTAATCTTCACGTTATAAAATAACAAAACTTGTTGAATCCCACAGTATTAGCTGTATTGTATACTTAAGTTTATCAAAGTATATAGTTGATTCCTCATTGTACTCTAACCTGTGAGATCATGGTGACTCACTGCACTAATCTAGCATTGTACCAAGTAGAAATACAACATTTTACTCCACTCCTTACAGGTCACACTTTCAATTTTGCTTTTCATTTGTCCTCCTTTTTTGTTCCTTTCTTCTTCTGGGGGATTTCTGATCCTTCCAGGATTATGTGATGAGTGATTGTATGTAGCTGGGGAAGATAGAACCTGTTTGCTAGACATGGATACCCTTGGCCCCAGATAGCAGGTATTTGGATCATGAAGTGATCTGCTCAGGCACACTGCATCAGTACTCCAGGTGATGAAGTACTCTAAATACTATACAAAATATTATAATCTGAGTTCTCTGAAGGCCTGTGTGGTTAAATGTATGCATATGGTCAGGCAACAAATTTTTCCAGTTCCCCTGCAAATCTTTAATTCTAGGATTCTAGATATATATTTTAAAAATTTAAAAAGCTGAGGATGGATAATTATTAATAAAACATGTGATCGTTTTTATAAATGTCTTTGGTCCTAATTTCCGTAATACATCTATTAACTATTCATTTGTCTGAAGAACGTTATGTCTGAGCCAGATATACTTTTGGAATAGAATCATATTACCACTGATTCATCCAAAGAGATCATTATTACTTTCCCACTTATCAAAAAGGACTGCATATTTAAAACAGAAGCTTAGAGAAGGAAATCATGGAATAGTAATATAAAAATAGCATTTTAAAAACAATTGATTTTTTACTTCTTTGGCACTGTAGTAATGAGCTGTTGGACTATTACTGTTTTCAAGTATTTGAAAGGTAACTTGTGGACCTTAACTGTAGATGTGAATTGAAGTCCTCAAAATTAATAATTGTTCAATAGGCACTTTTTATATTTGGGTGTGTGGTAAATGGAATGCTCAAAAGCAATATTCTAATTCAATAAAAGGAATTCTAGTAAGAATGCAGTTAATACCTATGTGAATTGGGGGAAATTTGTGGGATGGTGTGTGGATTTCTCATTTTAATATTGCACTAATTGTTG